TCTAAATTATAATGAGATTTTGTAACCCCCCAAACATTAAAATCAAGATTATTCAAAATTATTCCCCCTACAAAATATTTTACTTTGACACACTTATTTCAAAAAAGAACAAGAAACAAAAACAAAAAAAAAAACAAAATTTTGAATAGACCAACTTCAATTTTAATTTTATGCTCGCGGCGTTCTTTTCTGCAAATAATTTCCTGATTGGCATTCTGATAATAAAATTTCTCCCCTTAATATTCTTTGTTTTTTTATGTGAATATATAGGTTCGTTTTTTAAATAACATTATTTGTACAAGTATACAATAACAATAACATAAAATGTTTTACTAAATTCTTAAATATCGTCTTATTTATTTTGTATTTTTTAATTTTTCAATTTCTTCATCAAATATTTTGGCTATTCCCATTACTAAAATTAATTCGTAGATTCGTTAAACTCTCATAAGAATTACAATTACTTTTTATCAAGTCATTCATCCCGAAAATTATCCAAAAATTATTAAAATTGGAAAATATTAAATAAATAAATTAAAAGTTATAATAATAAAAACTCAACGAAATGTGTATAAAAAATTCTATTAAGTTTTTGAAATTTTCTAAAAATAAAAAAAAAACATTAAAAGGACTTGAAAGGAAAACTTTTGTTAAATTTAGTATAGCTTAAATTTTATTCAGAGAATTTTTAAAGTAAAAATAAAGAATTTAATTTCCCGTTTGGTTAAACATAAGTTGCACATAGTCGTTGTTTTGCTTATATGGAAGGTTATATAAAATATACCGAATAAGATTTTGAATTTTTATAAATGAACGTCCATTTTACTCAAGCTCCATATTATTATTTTGTTGGTACATAAATTCCATTTTGTTGAGTAAGCTCCTTAATGGATGTAGTTTTGGAATATTATATAGAAACAAAATTTAATTATTGTTTAATACAACATATTAATTATTGTTTAATAAAACATATTAATATTTCGAATAAATTTTAAAGATCGAAAGTCCACGACCATTGCAGAGATTGTCTTGAAAATTTTGTATTCTTTTGTTTTCTACTCTAATTTTTAATTTGATTTCTACTCTAAATCGAGAAATTACAAAGTTTAATATATTAAAATATAGCAGGACATTAAAAGTTAAAGAAACGAATTTTCTTTTTTATATTTTTGTTTTTTTTCTTTTCACTAAACTTTTATAGTCCAAGAATTCTAAACATTTATTTTCTTAATTTTTGTTTTATTCATAGAAATTTTATTTAAATTAACAAAAAAAAACAAAATTAATGAAAAGCAAACGAGAATAGAAAATTTACACTTAAAACTCGTCATTAATATAAAAATATTATGTAGACAATAGGGCAGCATCAAAAATCAAAGATACTATGTAAATATATCTATTAACTGTAAAAATTATAATATTGTTAATTAGGCAACTTGATACTAATAAACAAGTTATGCGTATTTCTATATAGAAACCAATTAAATGAATTTCTTTATTTTATGAGATAAGTAGAGGCAAAATGCTCACATGTACACAAAGACAGTAGCTGCAGCAGTTTTTTTTGTCAAAAGTGTAATATAGAATTTGACGTAGAGAAGACGGATCGAAATTTTAAAGCTATGATTATCAATCTAGTTACATAAGTGAACTCACTGTTTCATATCCAATTTGAACATGATCAGAAGCGATTTAGGAAGATTACATATTTGGGTAAGAATCAGGTGAGAATTCTAACCGGGTTCTTGTCGGTTCGCTAGAAATTTGTGGGGCAACTTAGATGGCTGCCCCTGGAAAAGCTGAAACACTTGCAGGTTCTGTGGGGACAATGGAAGAAACTTCAGTACAGCTTTTGAGGGAGTGTGATTGTAGATTGTAGATTTGTACGACGGGGGCAACGGTGCACCGCGACCACGTATAAGGATCTATTGTGCGTCCCCATCCGAGTGCGGGGCATGCCCTACAACACACGATCGAGACCCACCCTTCTGATGAACTCAAGCAACTTGTAAGGACCAGAAGACCGTAACTCAGCCACCGTAAGAGCCCTAGCACCTCCCCCCTCCTATGAGCAAGGGCATCACACTCCCCCAGGAGGTGCTCCGAGGTTTCCCCATATTCCCCACAGAATCGGCAAAGTATCCTCATTTTCCAGGCCCAGCCGATTGAGGTGTCCCCTAAGCCTGCAGTGACCCGTCAAAATGCCGGTGAAGACTCTTACCTGATTCTTGGCCATCCCTATAATTTTCTTAAATCGTTTCTGGTTATAATCTCCCAGGAGTTCCTTGGCTTGCCGCAGCCACCGAAGACTTCTCCAGCGCTCCGACCGCCTTCTTTCTGATTCCTTCCTTAATTCCCCACGAATAGTATGTTTTCCGATTCCGCAGAAAGGCTGCCTAACTCATTGAGCTTCTCAAGACAGCCCCATACTGCCACGGAGGCTATCCGACCCGATCGCAGCCCGGCTATCCGACATAATCATTATCTCCTGTCCTCGATACTCCTTTCCAGGCTGAACCACACGCACATTTCAATGGCGTGCAACTCAGCCCGAAACACATTCGTAAAAGTTCCCATAGGTTAGGAGAATAGGGTTCTTGGCCCAAATACCTCCATACCCGCCCCAACACTGGTCTTTGACCCATCTGCGTACCATCTGATATCGTGTGTTCCCACTGGGCGACCTGAAAAGTCACGCTCCCAGTTCCTTCTGTTACTCAGCAACGAGGCAAAATTTTTCTCGAAGCTGTACCTCCTTACCATGTCGTCCCGAGGCATCGCCTCATTTCCACATGGCTTTTACTGCCATTTACACAACGAGGTGCGAAGGGGTTAGTCCGAAAATCACTATCATTGCCGCCGTTGGACAAGTTTTCATAGCTCCTGTGATGCAAACGCATGCGAGTCTTTGCAATCGTTCCAGGTTCTTTCTACCCGTACCAAGAGCCACCCTTCTTGAACATGCCACTGCTCCATAAGTCAGGAGCGGCACGACCATCATGGTATACATCCACAACATGACAGACGGGGAGCAATCCCACGACCTGCCCGAGATGGCCTTGCAAACCATAAGTGCCCGGGTTGCCCATGTACACACAGCTTCCTCGTGACTTCGCCAAAGAAGCTTGGAATCAAATACCACTTCTAGGTATTTGACCAGAGGGAGTGTGATGATCTCGGTCATAGGAGAGGGAAAGTAGTAGGAGATCTGGCTCTCAGGGCGGCGGAGTTGTGGTCTTCTGAGCCTCACAAGGTGCCCGAGCACATAATAAATCCTTATACGTGTGGTGCATTGTTACTCCAGTTGTACAATCTACTATCTAAAGTATTAATTTTTTTAACTATATTTTTAAAAACATACTTATAGAATACAAATCTTCTCATATTCACCAAAATTACAGGGTCATGGGGAGTAAATTTGAAATTTTTCTTCGTCCTTTAGAATTTTTCATTCACAACTGTTTTAATTCAATTATATTTCAACTTATATGTGCCATATAGAAAGTGACATAAAAATTTTATGTGTCACAAAATTGTTACCATTAAATTGATTTAATTTTGCTACTACTCTATACATGTATATACGAGTATATTCACATAATACATATATGGTTATTTTAACACTATTTAGTTAATAATAATAACAGTAATAGGTGTAGTAAAAAGTATGTCTTCATCTTCATCTTCAATTAGTTTATGGTTTAAACAATTTTATTCATAAATTTTCATTTTTATATTATGTATGTGTGTGTGTAGCTACATAAAAATTTTTTTAACAATTTTATTGAGAAAAATCATAAGTTTAATAACAATTGAAAATTTAATATGAGTGTACATAAATATAAAAGACAACACATACACTCATACAGCATTTTTTTTTTAGTATATCAGTCAAAATGTCAAAATATAAACTTGTATTATTTCTACAATGAATTTTTTTTTAATATAAAATTTTTTTTATGGAAAAATTTTTATTCATTTTTATATTTAAAGAAACATAAAAATGAAAAAAATAAAAAATTACTCGAGCATTAAAAAAATTTTCATTGCTTTTTATAAAATTTTCATCGCTTTTCATATTATATTTTGACAATAACTTGAACAGCAAAAAAAAAAACAAAAAAACAACAAAATATTACTCATACTTGAAATTTCTTACAATTTACTTACAATTGAATTACATGAAAATGTCTTAAATGTCATGGAATACAATAAACGATAAATAATAATCTACACTCTACAATCTCATATGAACATTTTTCTTTAAATGTGAATTCTATTAACTACAACTACATTGTAATGTCGCTTTCTACAAAATTGTGAACAAATAATAATATTGAAGAGAAATGACACGGAACTGTTTAAAATATTAAACTTAATGATACAAGAGAGCACATGACAGCAAATAAAATATCGTACAAGCACATTCGCATTTTAACTAATTCAAATACATCACTTGCTTGTTTTGTATCAATTCAACTATCTAGATAATAATGCCCTTTTAGAAAATATCACATGACGATCAATCAATATTTGCAAGTGATCGCCGTTTGCAATATTAACTCTGTCATTATGTTACTTTAATCGCTTGACTTTTAAAACTAAACGTACTTGCAAGAATTCTTTGGTATTTTCAAATTTCAATAATTATTTAAACTTGCATAAATAACCAAATTGCAATTGTTATATTGATATATTTGATAATTTTTAAAAAGTGCTGCCAATATCGAAAAAAAAGCGTTCGTTTGACTTACAAAGTTTTTTTTATAATGATGACAGAAATAATATTGGCAGAATCTGTGAATTTCCAGAGAGAACAAAAAACACTTAGAATTGCTCTATCTCTTCTAGTTTAGCCAAAAAACGCTTAAAGTTTTCCCAAAGATTTTTTTAAATATCTCCAAAAATATTTTTGCTACAACCTATTATCATATGCAATCGGGGCAATTAATTATTCTTGTAAAATATTTTAGTAAATTTTATATAATTTATATACTTACCCGTCTATTAAAGGCACTTCAGTTAAAACTTTTTTAACTCTTTGCATACGATAATCAAAATCGTTTGCAGTACTTAATGTCAAATATGGGAAATATAATAGTACAATAATCCAAGTAAAGCCACAAAGCGAGTAGCTTTTGTGGTATTCCCGTGATTTCATTTCCTTCCAAATGCGAATTTGTTACATTAATATCTGAAATAAAAAAAAAATGTATTTAATTATGAATGAAAATGTAAAAATTTAAATTTTAAAAATAAGTGAATAAGATTTGTATGCTCTTCTGTTTTTAAAGCAAACTAATAATAATAAACAAACAAAGATTTACCAATAAGCTAGTTATGGTTGTTGTCTACGTAAAAGTCTATTTATATCTAATTCTTTAAAGAAGATTTCGAACTTTTTTTTAACAAATTCACGAATTTACTTCACAAATTTAAAATTATCAATGTATGGTATTTTCATGTAAAAACGAGAAAAAATCGAGCTGACCATGTGATAGCCGTACGAATTTGTTATCTTATGTGCGAAACAATATCCCATAGCTGACTGCGGGACTGACTATGACTTAAGTTGCCATATTAACATATTAATTTATACAAAATTTCAGTACTGTGTTTTCAATAATTTCTAAGATATGGCCAAATAACTTACAAAATTTGTATGGCAGCTACCAGAACCAGTACCCCGATCATATCCAATTTAAATAGGGTTCTGACACTTACTACAATAAATCATTTGTGAAAATTTGGTGAACTTAGCTCAATCTGTTTTTGAGTTATCATTGGGATGGACGGACGGACGGACAGAGAAAGCTAGAATGGGCTCAGAATTCGACGCTGATCAAAAACATACACTGGAGTCTATATCTCAGACTATTATTTCTTAGCGTTACAAACGGTAAGGCAAATTTATTATACCCTTCGAACATACGTTCGTACGGGTATAAAGATTTTAAATTGAAACGGGTATAAAAATTTTCTTTTTGAAATGACTATATTGTTGAAATATTATTTATATATATACTATCGCTTTCTGGAAATTATTTTCGCCTCCTTTTCTTATTTGTAAAATCTTTCCTTTTTAATTTGTTCGTGCAAGGCAGCTAATTTTCCTTACAATAACAATAATTGCTTTACAATTGTACAAAGAGAAATTAAACTTCATAAACACATTCTTAATATTATTCTCAGAGATACCGCGACTTTTTAAAATCAGTTAGTCAATGTACAAATACTGCACTCTAAGTTATCGTTAATTTATTCCCATTATTAATACGAGTATATCAAATATTTTCCGGGGAAATAAAAATTCTTTGAAAATAATATCTTTTCATTTGAGTGATTTCTATTTAAATAAACTTTGTAGTCTTAAATTATATTCATAACTATTATTCATTCTATAGTCATAATAACAAACATTTATAATTAAGTATGTATTATATTTCGATTTGGTGGCATACAACCACTCAACAATAAATTTGTTTTCTTTAAAAAAAAGTAAAACAACAAACATTTTCATTCTGGAAATTCTTGCCAAGAATATTTTAAGCTCTTGTATTAAAATTTTAAAAATGGAAGATAAAAACAAAGTGTATAAGTATAAGTAATTTCTATACAGCTATTTGGATGACATTTGAAATGTCAAATAAAGGAAATTATAAGAAAGAAAAAAAAACAAAGAAAAACTTTTAATTTTGATATCGCATTAATGTTAAATGAATGCAACAATAGAATGAAAGAGAACAAAGAAATTTAAGTGGTGAATCCTTATGCTAAATTAAAACTACTTCTTGAAAATAACTTAAAAGGTTAATCCTATTTATAATATTCAAAGAAAAAATGAATAAAAATTCTCAAGACAAGTTGATTTGATAACTTATTTTGACATTTTCATTTGTTTTAATAAAAAAATGTTCAGTCAAGGAAAACTAATTTATGCATTTAGGTTGCAAATCACACCAACCCAAACTTTATACAGTTTGCAATTAGAAAACAACTTTTCTTTGGTTACATAATTTCTGTTTTTATTCTCTTTCTAAATATTCTTATGATTGATAGCTGTTATCCAACTTATTGCATTCATATTTGACTTTATGAAAAATTTTCTTTTTTGTGCAATGATTATCTTCCCCCTTAAATTCAGATTATTGTATGAAAACTGTCCTTAATATTATGAAAACAAAATAATTATAATCTTAAATCATTTTCAAAAATTTTCAACTTTACTGAAACGCGATAAATTTTGAAATAAGTTTTCTAAAAAGTTTTGAAAGCATTGAATTGCTAGAGCACTCAAGCCATGTTTTAATTGAATAATCATGAAAACTTTTATATTATAATCACGCTATAATAATAAGAACATAATATCTAGGTATTTTGTTCGAAATTAAAAAAAAAAGTTTTACTAAAGTAACTTTTATCATATTTTGTGTGGCACATCACTAAGTTCCCAATGTTTATGGTGAAAAACGTAATGTGATAGGACTTTGAATTGAAAATGGCAATGATAAAAAAAAACATAGAAGAAAGAGTTTTGTTTTGCATAACAATAGAGAGAGTGAGTATTTAGGAATTAAGAATGACATTTATAATTATATTATATAAGTGCCATAATTAAAATCGAGAGTGAGTATGTAGTTTGAACATGTAGTGAGTGTCGTCGTTATTTAAATTAGGAGTTTTGAAATATCATAAAATATTTCAAATTCATTATAAAATTCAGAAAAGGCATTTTCGTTAAATATGCTACGATATTAAATTTTTAAAAAAGAAAATTGTTTCTAGCTCTGGAAACTATAATTTTTATTTATGATAAATGCATGACTGCTATCCAAGTTATTACTTTGTTCACAAAATGCTCTCAAGTAGTAAAAATTGGAGTAAAATTTGCAAGTTAAAAATAGTATAGCCTGACTTCAAAATTCCAGTAATCCTGTAGTAAAATGTAATTTAGCATGTAAGTCGTAATACCTGAATTTTGTATTCTTATATTTTTGAAGTCAAGAATACTTTATAATTAGAATCTATAAAAAAATTTTTAAAAAATAAAAATGAAATTTCATTAAATAAAAATTTTGCTACTTAATTTGTGCTAAAACCATCAACTTTGGCAAACATACATATATTTTAATTTAAAAAGGAATAAGAACAGCATAATAAGTATTGGACACAAAAAGTGCCCCTCTCTCCTCCGCCTCCTTGTTCTTTTTTACATTCTCAACAGCTTGAGTTTTTCTTCTTGAAAAATGTGTGCATTTTTTATTGCTTTTCCAAACAAAACGAAGGAAAACACAACTCCTTTAATATTATTTCAAATAATATTCCTTCCAACATTATTGCATTGAGAATCTCTGAGACAAATCTTTTGACATGAGATAGTCCCTTAATAAAAAATGCAAAAAGGCAAAAAAAAAATAATCAAGAATTAGAAAATTAAAAAAAAAAAATTGTTGAATGTAGAATTATTGTGGAAAGCATTGTAGGAATCCTGCACAAAAAAAAAAATTTTTTTTTTTTTAATTCATATTGGGTAGATTTCTTGCTTTCTTTTTTTTTGTTTTAATAAGTTAAAATGGCAATTTATATTATAAAAATGTTAGAGTTTTATACGTATATAAGAAAAACCAATAAAAAAAAGTGAAAATCATTAGAATTTTATAGTCTAGTTGCTTTTATAATTATCGTTATTATTATTATTTTAATAAGTATATATATATATATATATATATATATAATATATAAATCAAGAGTATAGTATATAAGAAAACTAGGTCAATTTTGGTTCATTAGATTTTCTTTTACTCTCATTTTTATTTTAATTCTCTTGTTTTTATCTATATAGAGTTAAAAAATAATGAACAGAAACATGGAAAAAAAAAGGATTATTGTCGACACGAATAGCTGATTAAAAAAGAATTTAACACTCTAGTTTTACAGTGTTATTTTAGTTTTTTTTTTCTTTTTCTATAATTACATTGTATATTTAAAATATGAGAGGATAAAATTAATGTTATGTACCATACGAAAACTTTAAATGTAGGTTACTAATTTTTAACATTAATTCTGGTTTTTTTTTTACTTTATCGTATTTAAAATTCTTGAAAAAATAGAAAAGTTAAGAGGGAAAATGATAAGCCAAAAAAAAACGAAAAAAAAAAATCTAATTAAAAAACTTTACATCGACCATTTTCATTTTTTTTTTTTTTATTTTTTTTTTATTATTTTAATGATGGCAGTAACTATGATTTTTTTTTTTTTTTGCATTTAATGTTTGTATATAAAGGAAATTATCTATTCTGATTGCATAAAACTAAAAAAATTTTTTTTACAAGTAAAATTGTACATAATGTACTAGAGATTTACATAATTATTTTGTATAATAGCATTAAAACGAGAAAAAAAATAGAGTTGACCTTGTCAACTCTGTGATACCCGTACGAATTCTTTATCCTATGTGCGAATAACTAATGTGCCATAACTAACTATGGGGCAGACTATAACTTTAAGTTGCCGTATTACCATATTAATTTATGCAAAATTTCAGTACTATGTGTTTTTCAAAATGTGCCAAACTACTATTGGTTGTGCCAAAATACTATTGAAGTTGTATGGCAGCTACCAGAAAGAGCCAAGAAATTTTTAGCAAATTGAATCAAGAACATCGGCCCTACTAATATATTCACTTGTGTGAAATCTCAATATCACAGCTTTTATAGTTTCTGAGATATAGCCAAATAACTTTTGAAGTTGTATGGCAGCTACCAGAAGGAGCCAAGTAATTTCAACGATTTTTATGAGACACATTGGCCTTACTAATATATTCGTTTGTGTGAAATTTCAATACCACAACTTTTATAGTTTCTGAGATATAGCCAAATAAATTTTGAAGTTGTATGGCAGCTACCCGAACCGGTACCCTGATCACGTCCAATTTAAATAGGGTTCTGGCACTTACTACAGTAAATCATTTGTGAAAATTTAGTGAACTTAGCTCAATTAGTTTTTGAGTTTTCGTTCGGACGGACGGACGGACGGACGGACAGACAAAGCTAAATCAACTCAGAATTTGACGCTGATCAAAAACATACACTTGAGTCTGTATCTAACACCGTTATTTCTTAGCATTACAAACGGTAAGGCAAATTTAGTATACCCTTCGAACATACGTTCGTACGGGTATAAAAATATAAT